AATTGGACCGATATTTAGCCAATGTTTAGCCGATGCACTGTGCCACTAGGGTCTGCAGTCTTTCAGCCTTCAAAATTTCTAGTGGGTCATTTGACGAAATCTGTCCCGACAGATTTGGCTATCCGGATTGTTTTGCAGAAACCGAAAGAGCTCGCATAATTCGCGTGCACGATCGAAAGAAATCTTGGCAGGTCTCGTCGCCTAATTTGTCGAGTAATAATTAATATCGACACGCCACACATTCTCGCCGGGGATAATTGCGAAGAAAGGGCTTTTCGGCCGGACACGGATAACTGCGGTTTGCGCAACGTTCAAGGTCGCGCTAGCTGGGGGGGTGCTCGAAGATTACATCTTAATGATAGCGTGTTATCCTCCCACCCTCCCCCCTCCCCTCTCTTTCTTCGGGGCGAAAGACCTCTGTATCGATTTTCAAGGCCTTCCAACGCTTTACGACGAAATTGTTCGAAGTCTCCGATACTTCTCCACCGCGCGCGAACGTTATCGATCATGCATGAATTATGCGAATTAATTAGAAGGAGCCGCAGCGCGCGAGTCGAGCAAGAAAAACGGCGAAATGGAATAGCGGCGGTGTATTTTCCCTCGTTCGCTCCTGACACTTCCCGCGTGCTACTACGACGTATACACACGACGTCGCGGTATTTCAGGCATCCTATCGACCAAGTGTCATCCGTATTTCAAAATTCTGCCGTTAACGGAATTTTTAGGTCAATCGTTACGGTGTCCACGTGCGCCCTGTAATAACAAGGGTGCTACCGTGTGGCTTGATACTGGTTCGGGTTACGTTTCGCGCGCCGGCGCTTATTTGCATTGCGATTAATACTTTTATGCAAATCAACGCCTGATCCGTGGCCAATTGTAATCACGGCCGACCCCAACGTACGTGCAGTGCGGTGCATTCTTGTCCTCTAGGTCGTGCCGTAAATTTTGAGATTACGTCCACATGGACTTTTTATGCGAGCCTTTTTTTATTGTCGGTGCAAGCAATGTAAATTATTATAAAGTGACTGATTAATTAATTAAGTTCTTGAACGGTCTCAGATAGCAATGCGTGTCTAAAAGACATCTTTAAGCCGTCACTAAGTTTTCTTTTAGGCATAAAGGTATCTTTATGGCGTCTTTTAGATGCATTGTATGCTGTCCGGGGTATGTATACACCCAGATAGCAATACATGTTTAAAAGACATCATAAAGATATCTTTAAGGCCATTTTTAGACGTACGTGTCTAAAAGACAACTTAATGTCGTCTGAAAGTCTTTTTGTTTGTCTTTTAGACAAACATGCTATCTGGGTATTATAGTTTAAATGGGATACATTTTATTAGTTTTATACTGCATCTATTTAGCTTACAGTAAAATGTAAAAGATATGTGATACTGATAAAAGTATTATATTATGATTTATGCTGTTCTGTTAATTTTTTGAAGCATAATAATTCTGCCCGGACTGCATAAATAATTGTAACTGAAAATATAAAATTGCAAACGTGACATAAATTTCCGCGATATTTCTAAAATGTAAATGCTCGATGATTCATGGATTATTCATTGTTTACACGACACACAAAACATAATTTACATTGTACATGTAATTGTAGATTATTACATTTTACGCGTAAACGGCCGGATCCTTATGCTTATCGTGCGTATCTCTCGATCGATCAGCCTCGCGCGCGCCTTGTGGTCTTGTCCGATAAATTATACGACCATCGTCGGGATTGGGAGACATCGATGCTGCCTCTAGCAACGTCGAACATGAGAATTTGTAACTCCAGCATGTCTATAACAAATAATCATCCTTCTAGAACATTTCAATGTCATAAATAATTACCGGATGTGTGTCGACACAATTTCTGGTGAATCTGTAGCTGAAAAAAAACCTGTTATGCAAGTATTTATTACGCGATTTTGATCGTACAGTCATTCAAAGGGGCTTTGATTGTGAGAGATATCTGCACTGCGAAAACCAGGTATGTCAACGTGTATAGAAACAATGCATAACACACTTTGTTCGCGCGTACTGAATAACTACTGTGTCTATAAGTGATGTGAGTGCGCAGTTTCACTACAGTTAATTGGTGTACACACTTCTCGGCGCAACCCATCAACACACATTAATTTGATCACATATGAAGCGTATTTGAAATTAATCACGAACTACTTATGTAATACACGTGTGTACGATGCAACCACACGTTGGCAATATAACGCGCGAGCGAAAACGAACGGAAAAACGCAACACAGTTTAAGTGTGCTGATATTCGTGCGGTCGTATATGAAAGTTTTGAAGTGTACCTTGATTATATCACAGAGATCGGACCAATGCAGTTCAATTAACGAACATATGTAAGATTTTACATTAGTAAAATTAAAATTTTATTAATATAAACATTGTGTGGGAAAAAAATAAGAAATTGCTTAAGTATCACGGGCCAGAGAGTTTAACAGCGACAGTATATGTCTCTTTCCTATTACGTCGTTTTTAAGCGGTTGTAGGTGCGTTCTGTTTCACGCACGATGCATTATGCGCATCATGCGTGAGACGGAACGCACCTTGTCCAACAACACGTGTAAAAACAACACACTTCGCGCGCGTTCTAATGACGAAACGTGTGTAAAAAGTGCATCTACAGCGAGTAACATGCCTAAAATGTGTGAAAGTAACACACTTAGCTTTTGCAGTGTATTCACAGCCGTGATTGACCCTATACTTTTCGCACGCGCCCCGTGGAGTATAGAGGGACACGGAATTGCGAGTTTTTCTGTCGGGCGTAAGAGCGCGAAGGGTGAAAGAGCGCAGGTCCCTCACGGCTGACCGTGTCGACCGCGAACTCAAGAAAATGAACCCGGAGGTACCGGAGGGCGAGTGGTGGGCGGGCGGCTGTGGAGAAAGGCGAAACGTAGGGAGTCACGCTAAGCAACCCCCGTGAAACTGGAGGTGGCCGCTCGAGGAAGCCGCCGCGGTACGCGGCGGATCCCAGTCAGTCTGCAGGATGAGGCGCGCGACGTGGCTGCTTTTTGTGTCCGCCCTGCTTCTCGTCCAGAGGACCCATGTTTGCCGCGCTCAGAGGACCCACGCGCGACAGGGTCTCAACCGCGAGAGCCCAACCGTTAAGATACCGAGTCAGGGTATCGTCCTCGGCAAAGAGGTACGATCATCGTGTTTCAATCTATTCCGGTTGGTCTTAAGGCTTTACATTCGTTTACTGGAACCGACCACCCCGCGCTGTACACGGAGAGAATTTTCTCCTCAAATTTACCCTGAAAATCATGCAATCGTGGGACAACATGGCAGTTTAAACAACTTTATCTTTTTGAAATTTTATACATTTTAGTAGCAATTATACTTACAATTGGTACACATCTTACCAGTAAAATGTAGGGTAAAATTTCAAAACACTCTCATAAAATTCTCCAAAGTGCAAAATCCCACGATTACATAATTTTCAAGATAAATTTTAAGAGAAACTTCTCTCCGTGTGTAAAATTGATAGGGATTTGAATCTTCCGACGTGATCACCCTCGAGTAAACGACTGGTTTCATGTCTGTTAATTCGAATATTAATTTCGCTATTTTTTTGTGAGTTGTAATCTCAAATAGAAATAAAAATACCGTGTTATCAAGTTGAACATATTTTGCGTCGGTTCAATAAAAAAAAACTTAACGTTGATTATAATCGGCTGAATCTTCAGATTGCAATCGTTTATGAACATACAATCAATTTTATATAAATATAATTTGAATCCAATTTTCACTAGAGCGCTGTTTCTTTTTCCAATTTTAGAGAAGCAACAATTCAGCTATTCGTTATTTTTAATTTTTTCAAAATTCTAGAAACAAACAAACGATAACTTGGTACTTGAAGGTAAGATTTTTAGTCGTCGATAAGTGCTTCTTTCGTTATACCGTGTACTCTTCTGAAATTTAGGTAAGCGTCAGTAACTCGTTAAGACTGACGCAGTACCTTGGTATCCCTTACGCGCAACCCCCGCTCGGCAAGCTTCGCTTCACGCGACCAGTGACAGATCCTCTTCCCTCTTGGAACGGCGTGAGAAATGCAACGCAATTTGCGCCGTCCTGCCAGCAGGCTTCGGGTCAGCTTAAACTGCACGAAAAGCTCTACAAGCGTTTGCTACCACCGGACGTGCCCGATCCGGGATTCAACGAGGATTGTCTCTTCTTGAACATCTTCGTCCCGAACGAAGGTATGCGTGCGTTCCTGTAGAATTAGAATTTACATGTCAAATTTTACAGCTCTCGAAATCGGAGGAGGTCATTTCCAATTTGTTTCAAGAAGGCAATAAGAGATATAAAAATGAATGCGTAGCGTACGTTTCGGTCCCTTTTTGCATCCTTAGCAGCATAAAAATAAAATAAAACCTAGGAAGTGTAGTAACGCGGGTTTGAATTTTGACCTTATTGGACTTTTATTTAATTTCAAAGCAATTTCTTTACCTAAACCAAAATTTTATTTGATTGAGACTGGAAATTCCAAGAGAATTCATATCTATTTCTTCAAATCTAGTAAATGTTTTAGTAGAAGCAAATAAAAATTTTAGTAGAAGTAAATAAAAAAGTTGGTAGATTCGCAGTCCGTACCTATGCAGCACACAATATTTATAAAACATGTATACATAAAATCTTTAAAACATCTCGTATATATGTTATAAATATTGTGTACTGTATGAATAGTTAAAAAATATTGAATAAATGAGAACAAAAAATAAAAGTCCAAAGTTACACAGATATTTTCAGTAAAATTCAATGCTTATTTATATTACGCTTGGCTCTCATTGCCTCTTTTATACTTTTATTGAATATTCAAGAGAGCCTCTAAATTATTATTGTTTCAAATTTCTTTTAAGTATAAACTTAGATATATCTTTTTTAGGTATAAATTATTTTTTAATATCATTTCCTTGCCGGGCATTTTTCTAACTTTTTACTCGTGCTTTCTCCCGGAAAGAATTTAAACATACGAAAGGAACGAAAGAGTCAGCTGTTACCTTCGTTCACACTCATGGGCAGATTTTCGCGACGCGAGCGTTTATTGCTCGTGATAAATATGATCGGCAGGCAGAATGCTTGACTGATGATAATCCTTGATACTGTCCACGTGATATTTCTTCGCCGTATGAACCTCGATAACGTTACGGCACGCAACGTGACGAAGAAACGACGGTCAACGGCGAAGTTCGTTCCCGAGAGTGCGAGATAATGCTCGCCCTCAAGTTCTCGGAGACTGATTCTTATCATCCGAGAGAAAGAGGGTGATTACGGTGATTACTCGCGGGAGGGGGAGGTGTTCGAGCATTATACCACCGCGATCAGATAAAGGTGGATCAAAGCAAAAAATTAATAATGTGCCGCGCTAAGGTCTGGTGTCGTATAGAGAAGACTTATCGCGTTGCATATAAAAAGTGTAAAAGGTGGACGTTCTGTTTGTTACACAATACGATTAACTTAGATAATTCTTCCGTGAAGTTGGCGTTCCGTTCATGCTGTGATTGTTCTCGGTGATTACTTCTTTCAAGAGTTCTTTTCAAACGTTAGCGTTACCTTTCATCTGAATCGAGAGTAATAGGGTCGCGCGCGCGCGCGAAAAGTATATGTCGTCGATAATCGAAATGAGAAAATAATATTAATATTATCCGTTGCTGTCCCTTCAATTAGCTCGGGTACAGAATTACCAGAAATGCAGCAAGACAAATACAAAGAGACGTTCTTGGAGAACTTTAAATGAGTAATCTAAAACTTTAAAATGCTGGTGAAACTGAATTTACGTTACAATTCTAAATAAATTTATCGAAAATACTAATATAGTTTTGTCCTTACGCGATACGTTTTGTTTCGCAAATTTACCTAGAGATCTAACGTAAAACCCGTTTAACGTAGACAAACGAGTTTTAATTTCTTTCGCATTGCGTTTTTTCCACTTGCCCCAGTCCTACCCTAATACAAATTTAATGAGGTACGACCAGGAAATATATACAGGTAGAGCTTTAAAAAGCTTTAAGAGCTCCAACACGCGTATACAAACGAATAGTTCAACGGGGTGAATGGGGTAAAGCTGAATGCAAAGGTTTGCGCCATACTTTGATTACCGTTGCCGAAATCGGTAACCGCTAAACGGTCTCTCTCTCTCTCTTTCTCTCTTATTCGAGAGGAAAAAAGGTCTGATCTCGCAGTCGCGAAATCGTGGCACGAAATCACGTATGACGACGACGACGGTAGTCGGGGTCGATATATAACGTAGGGCTGGTAAGGAGTAGTAACAGTAACTAGCGCGCCCACGGTGGCACGCGATCTTCCAGGGCCCCGGCCTGAGATGCGGAGATACCAGAAAGCCGGTCACGAAAGCTCGCCCTCTCGCTCTCACCCTCTCTTTTCGTTCCTTCGCTCGTCTCGCGGCGAGGAAGTCGTTGAATCGTCACGACCTGCCGTCATGAGTCATTGATTCGCGCAAGAAGCTATAACGGATACGCTGGCGATACTTACGGAAAGCCCCCGCGACGTGCGACACTCGGCTATACCTGGAACCACCTCCGTCCGATATGACAATAACGCGATTGCGGAAAACGCCGAAAGAAACATATGCCAAGGTCGTCGCTAAGAGACCGACGGTACGATAACGCGGGACGGGACGTCCGTGTTCAGGAAACCGCAGGGGGGCCAGGGAGTCTCGTACCGGTCCCCGCGTTATCGTAACAAGCCAGCCGGGTTGGAAATAGAATATTCGGATATGCACTGTTCGCGGTGGCTTCACATAAATTATCCCTCTCTCGATCTATACGAATGGAACTACATATAATATGAAAAGAAGCACTAAAACCCCACTCGACCCGCAGCCTATCTTTGGGGCAATCGAGTCCTAATAAAATATCCAAGTTTTCTTTCCCCACACAATAGTTCAAGAACAAAAGTTTCAAAGGAACCGACAAGTACTAGATGCGTCATATTGTTAATATTGATCTTGTCTATTTCCGTTAATACTTGAGAAATCCTTAAGAGTATATAGATTCTAACTTGGCTCATCGGGGTGTGTTCGCACCTTGTTTGGATACCAAGTGCGATCCAGCTTGCATGGCTGAGTTGTAATTTCAAGACCAGTGTCTTATGCTTCCAGTCTTTGCTCCAAGTAACGCACAATACGTTATGTCTCAAGTTTTAAATGTGTAACGAACGCAACGCTTGCAAGGAATAAACGTATATACGAAAGTAATCATTTTGCTAATAGTAGATGAATGTTTTATAAATACTGTCTTGTAATCGCAAGTCCGTCATTCTGCTAAGGCAATCAAATCAAACCGTTTTCAAGTTAATAACTCTCTCTTAATGGATTGATGGCTCTGATAGCTAACGGATATTTCATGTGCATAGGAAATCGCCAGAGTGACCGATGGCCAGTGATGGTTTGGTTCCACGGTGGCGACTTCAACACCGGAACTCCAGCGATCTGGGACGCCTCTATATTCGTTACCAAACAAAAGGTGCGACTACGCGCGTTTCGCGCGCGATTGCTTGCGAAACAGCCGGAAACTGGACGCGAGCGATTGAAATCAATGTAACTCGGTCGGCGATCTAATCGATACCAATATAATTACGATACTAAAGAGGGGGGGGGAGGGGGAGAGATGGCGATGAACGTGTATTTTTAATTCAATTCAATCAACTTCCCGGACATTTACAAGACGGACGTAAAATCGAAGGGAATCGAATAACATCAGGCCTTTTCTTTCCCTTATCTCGCGTGCCGTCACTTCTAGAATAGAACCGCACCCTCTGATATTCGACCGCGATACATCATTAATGGAGCTTTCGTTACACATCATGACGTAATGTACATAATGCGGTATCGTTTACTGGCTCCCAGGTACGATTCACGGTGGGGAAGGGAGGGCAAATTGATCGCTTGCGTGGCACGAAATGAAAGTAAATCTCTTTCGGTAACAATTGCTCGTGAGATTTTATCGCGGGCGCACGTTAGGAAAAAAAAACGGAAAGGGAGAAAAGCCTACAAAGTCTTCGCGAGATTAAACGGGGGCGACTTTTGCGGCCGGCAGGTGCTAGTGGTGACGGTGGCGTATCGATTAAACATCCTCGGATTCTTCACGACGACGGACACCGAGGCGTCCGGCAATTACGGCATGTTCGACCAGATCGCCGCCCTTGACTGGATAAAGCGGAACATCAAGTACTTTAACGGTGATCCCGGCAACATCGTCATCTACGGCCACAGTTCCGGTGCCATCAGCGTCGGGCTGCACATGCTGAGCCCGCTCAGCAAAGGCAAATTCCACAAGGCGATCGCCATGAGCGGAGACGCCATCGGTTCGGTCGGCACCCTGGAGAGGGAGAAGCCGGTGGTGGACATCATAGCAAACAGATTCGGCTGCGACCGACGGCCGACCAGCGCGCTCATGGAGTGCCTGCGTCGGCTGCAGGCCGAATTCCTCATCAAGCACTCGTCCGACATCGAGACCTGGGGCCCGATCGTCGACGCCGATACGAACAACGAGACGGAACCGTTCCTCGCGCAACATCCCAAGGACATCTTGGAATACGGTGATTGCCCAAGTGACCCGATAACATTATATAGCAAGCCTTTAATCCTTAAGCGCGTAGTTCTGCATATGTGCAAGGCGACTTTTCGATGTTTCGCATCGTATTTTCCTTTGTGAAGTTCGAACCGAAAACGCGCAGCTTCGCACATCTGTAAAGGGCCTCCTCTGGCCCTTCTGGATGGAGAAACCCTTTGGAGTCCTTCTGGGGGAGAATTCAAATTAGTAAAGAATTTTTTTAAGTGTTTCTCTAGGATTTCTTAAGCAGTCATTATTTAGTTAAAAAACTTTCAAAATGCTATGAAAACTTGCGCATTTAAGGGTTAAAATTAAAACACGTGAATATATCTAAAAACCAAATGATCCGAAGATCTTCTTAAAGTAAGACTTTATCTTATACTTTGACACTAAGGAAAGACCTTAATATCGATTTAAGATACGCGAAGATATTTAAGAGCAATGTACTCAAATAATTCTTCAAATACTTATTCTCTGCGAGTTTATTTCAAGTATTTTAAGAATTATATTATTCTCTGTATCTTCCTCGATGTAACGATTTAAATGTTCCCTTAACTTTGATGAAATTAGGTAACTTCAACACGGTGCCGTTGATCGTCGGCTACACGAATAACGAGCAGGTTTTGGCGTACATGGAGACCACCGGCGGTCAGAATCCAGAGGGCGGACTCTCCTCGGAGAACTTCGAGACGATGATCACAGACGAGTTCACGGCGGCGGTGCAGACTCCGGATGATAACAGCACCTGCGAGTCGAAGCCCGAGATGGTGACGAACGCGGTGCTGTTCTTCTATAGACCGTACCCATCCACGACGAACACGACGGTGTTTCGTGACAGATACCTGGATCTGCAAACGGAAAAGAATTACGCAGCTGGTCTGACGTTGCTGGCCGGTAAAGTGGCGAAGCGAAGAGCGACGGCTTTCGTATATCGCTTCGATTATCGTCCCAAAACGGCACCGGTCGCGAAGGACGTGCCGGAATGGGCGGGCGTGCCGCACATGTTCGAGCTGCCATTCGTCTGGGGTTTACCGCATCTGATGGGCTCCGGTGCGGTGCAATGGATTTTCAACGACAAGAAGGTGTCCGACGTGATGATGATGATGCTGGCGACGTTCGCCAAGACCGGGGATCCCTCCTTGACGAGCGGGACAGGGTCGATCAAGTGGGAGCCCTACACGCAGGAGAATCCGAGAATTCTGATCATCGACAAGAACGTGGAGATGAATGAGCCGGACGCGGTGGATTACAAGGCGCTCGCGTTTTGGAACGACTACTATCCGCAAATTGTGATGGAGGCGACGAACAATTGTTGCAACATCACGAACACGGCGGCGACACGGAGGATCTTTCGCAGCTTGTGTCTCAGCGGTGCGATGGCTACGTTGGCATTGCATCGCTTCTGGTTCTAGCTACGGTCATATAGCATTAAATATTAAATACTGAATTAAACAAAAAAAAACGTGTTGTTGCGCTCGCTGTTGTATATTTTTTAATAGACCAATAACGAAAGAAGACAAAACGGCGTCGTCGGATTTTGCAATTTTATAACAAGATCTCTTCCCACACTCTACCTTTTAAAAGCAAACGCAGTAACAATCTTGTTATACTCTTGTAGAATATATGTATATTTCGCGAAATTCGCATTTTCTCGTGTGAATAGATTCTGCGTACGCATTCGCGATAATTGTTTCACAATGTTGTACGCGTTTAATCGAGAGTTCTCGCACTCGTACGCCTGTGTTTATTGCGATATGGTAGTTATATTATATTTTCTTACGTTCGCATTTGATATTCTCAATTACATTGCGTATATCACAAAGTTATTTTATTCCGTTCTTCTTATCTTACATGTTACTTGATGTAGATTATACGAAACAAGGAGAAATTATCTACAGGTTAATCACGCGAACGGCCGAACATGGTTCACAAACGAGACAAAGGGGGCTCGGAATAAAATAAAATGAAATCCAGGTTGCATTACAAGAGTAGAAAACTTGGGCCCTTTTTTTTAACATTCACTGATTTTTTTTTATTATTTGCCTTAATACGGAGAGATATAGAAAAACATACTTTGTTTGAGAAACAAACAGTTTGATAACTTACGAATATTTTGATGATCCGATAATAATTAATAATTAATATTAATAATAATAGCAATAATAATGTTCAAGTACCATCTATGTATAATTATTATATTATATAAGAGAGAGAGGTGCGCGGCGAGAGCGCGATGCTTGGGGGCTGGTGGCCTGCGCACGCGCACATCCACAAACGTTTCTGTTTTGTTTCCTTATCTCTTCCTTTCTCCTAAATATATACTATTAATTAATCATTTTTTCCCTTCATTTATTCATGTAAAACTCCTACAGTGATAACCGATGCTGCGGGGTCTCGTATCCTACTTTGTGCGCCGTTGCTTGCGCGCGTGCACACGAGCCATCCCGGAACCAATGTTATATACAATATTTCCTTCCGTTTATCGCTGCGTTCCCTTCCACGTATCTCTTCGTTCTTCGCTCCGCTGCGTTTACCTTGTGCCCTTATATGCCCTTATTCTCCCGTCTCTACCATCGTTTTACAACCGTTCGGATTTCAGAATTCCCGTTCAACTGCCGCCTAATATTCCGTCAGCCCCCTCCTCCTCTTTTGTCATTAGTATCTTTCTTGTCTTATAACCGCTTCGGTCCTTTTTTTTCTTAATCCACCGGTATCCTCGGATTTTCATGTAGGAGAATATGGGCTCCGCCATATATACCTTACAGAAGTAGGCACAGCGATTTCTTCTTCTGCTTCATCTTCTTCTCTGGCGATTTCTTGTTTATTTGCCGCACCAGGTCGTAGAAAATCTGAAAGCGAAAGGTGACAAGTTGTTAAAACTGTGTCAATAATGTACATCAGCTAGAATATACGACTATTAGCATTGTACAAAATATTGCGAGCTAGCTATTAGTTATATACTTTCATTGAAAGATGTCGAGCGACAAAATTATAAAATTCTCACGTCAGAATAAAATAGAATTGAGAGTCAACTCACATCGCGAACGTTAATTTTAGCTTTGGCAGAGGTCTCCATAAACACGCAATTGAATTGCCGGGCAAGGTTGACACCCTGATCCTTTCCTACTACCCTCTCGTCCTCCAGGTCGCACTTGTTACCTACTAGCACCATCGGCACATCATCTGTGTCCTTTACCCGCAGGATCTGTTCCCTGAGGTCTTGCAGGTCGTTGAAGGTTGATTGTGCTGTTATCGAATACACTAACACGAAGCCCTGCCCATTTTTCATATAAAGGTCCCTCATGGCTGTGAATTGTTCCTGCAAACGGACAAGAATCGTCAAGATAACGTCACTCAGAAATGCAAACCGCGAAATAAAAAGAGAAAGTTACGCGACGCGTTGAAAGATAAGTGAAGAAGCGTGTCTTCGTGCTATTTCACCGAAGACTTCCGCTCGCGTTTTGCAAATTAGAGACTATGAAAGAGTAACGAGACGAGATCAATACTCGGGCAAAAATGGACGAAATTTCGCAACTTAACGGCGTATTCGCGTATTCCGAGTGTAGAAACGTGTTACGCGGGAGGATACTTACCGTGCCGGCTGTGTCTAGGATCTCTAGCATACATTGTTGTCCGTCGACCTCGACTTGCTTGCGGTAGCTGTCCTCGATCGTCGGGTCATACTTCTCTACGAAGATCTCCTGCACGAACTGGACAGTGAGGGCGGACTTGCCTACACCTCCGCTGCCCAGCACCACTATTTTATATTCGCGCATCTCCTTGCCCTACCTACTGCCTATGGGCCTGATCACAGTCGAGGGGTCACCGAATCCGCCACGTTTTGCCTCGATTTGCTCTCAGCGAGACGGACCTGAAACAACAACGTGCGACCGTCCAGTTAAAGGCCACGAGCATTACACAACGGGTTAATTTTAATGACACACCTTCCTCCAGGACGACTCAGCCTTTTATGACTCAATGCTTTTTACGCGTATATACACGGTGATTTCACGCTAAATAAAACAAAGGTCGTATATACGCGATTATGATAAATTACCGGGCTCATTATATATGTATAAGGACGGGCAATCATCTATTCTTCCACGAAGATGTAATAATCCTTACAATTTCTAATATCGCATCAAGTCGAGAATTTACTCAGCACAAAAAATTATTTACACAGATAACGTCATGAATTACGATTAAACGTTTGGACCCGGTTTCATCAAATGTCGCTTAACTTTAATTTTACTGTTAGTTCAATTCGTGCTTGTTTCTCCCCACAGTAACGGTTGGAAAGAAACAAAGAACGAATTAAACTAAGCTTAAAGTTAAACGACGTTGATGAAACCGAGCCTTAATCTTTTATATTTAAACGTTGGCGCGATCTTTTTAAAGACGTTCTCGCGTTTTCGAGGGTACAGTTTCAAATTCTGCCGAACTCTGTGCCGCGCGCGGCGTCTCGTACGAATACGTTTCCTTTCTGTTTTTAGGCTTCCCAAAGCTGAGAGATTATTGCCGCTATCGTGCAAAATTCCGGCATCCGGAAACGGAAGCGGTATGGTTAATTGTTTCGCGGGAAAGCAGTAGCATTTGCTCCACAAAGTCACGCGGCTGCTCCCGCTCGTGTTTTGCTTCGCCGAAGCGCGTTGTTTCCGCGCGACGAATGGCAGGACGAGAGGGAAAACGCGGACGCCGCGGACGGGGCGCCGATTGGCCGGCGGTGGCATCATGGCGACGCGCCGCGGCCAATCGGCGGCCGCGCAATTCTTTGCGCCAATCCGTCATTGATTTTACCTTATGAATGGACCTGTACAATGAAAGCCGCCACTCTCGGACTTTCGTACGGTGCGCGTTACAGCGCTTGATAAAGTTACCTCGGGAGGCGTAACATTGTTACGGCGCATTTGAAATTTTACAACGACAGACGTTCCTATCGACGTCCCCCTCCCCTCCCCTCCCCTCCCCCCACGCGCGGAGAAAGAACTGCAATAAAAGCTGCACGAATTTCGCCGTTTCCAAATTCCGCGCCGGCAATCTCAAACAGTTGGACAAAATTTCGCTCGACGCTCTCTTATTCCCCCCCGATTGTTTATTATTTATTATACACATATGCACCGAACGCCCCGAGCCCGCGTTTCATTCCACTTTTGTTTGTCTACCGTTATTTATTCTGCGAAAGAGAAGTGGATTTCGTTGGCTGGAGCAACAGAAATGACCGGCTTTCTTTCGTGAATATTTAATACAAGAGAGAGAGAGGGGGGGGGAAGAGATACGGCGGCGCGAACTTCTGAATAACTTCGCACGAGGTATTATTCCGATCGGGCTGATCGTGAATAATTAACTCGCCGAAATGTCACTTGACGACTTTGCGAAGTCCTTATCTTGGGACGGGTCGTACGTGTCGTACGTCACCGCGACGCTAATCGACCTCAAATTGAGTCCCCGCGATGAGCAGAGCGATATGACAGGAACGAGCGGAGGCTTTCGCGCGAGTAGAAAACTTGCAAGTTTCCCGGTATTTTCTCGGACAGCGCGCGATTCCCTCTTTCCGATCTCCGCAGAATGGGATTAACGACGATTACAATGCTGCAAGGAATAAAAGGAAGAAAAAGAAAAGAAAAGAAAACGCGAACACGGACGCGTTACGGGCAAAAATGAGAGCTCGCGGAAAGGAACACGCACGGCGGGAAATAACTTCGTTATCTTTTACGAGCGCATCTTTCCCGGGAATGGCTCTCGAGCTTCTTTTTTTTCCCACGGTTTTCCCCGCTCGGCGCGGCCGCGGCCGCGGCCGCGTTTAATTTTTCGCCAGCTTCCCCCCGTTCCAAGGAGCTCGCGGTGCTCTCCTAAGTTTATTAACGAAGATCAAACAGTGCCTATAGTAACACGGCGACGTGCCGATATCGCGGGGGCAACATCGATCCCGGGATGTTTCGCGGAGCACTCGAGGCGCCGCGGCGGAGGCACGTGCTGCCGCTCGTTTGTAACTTCGTTATAACGTATTTACAATCCGCAATTTCGTTATAATGCGCCACGTATGGTGCAATTAAGCCCGCCGTGAATTAACGCGGCGCCGTAACAAAAGCGGGGCAACAAGTTTGAGGAGCACCGAGAGAGCGGGTCCGAACCTTTGGCGTCGCTCCAGCGTGTCCCCGCGACTCGGAAAAATATCGCGTACAAAGCTGCAAACACACGCACACACCTCGGTACAGACCGAAGGAAGCTCGCCAGAGCTCTCCTGACCTAGTTATTAGGCTTTGGCGTGAGGCGACGTGCTTCTGTAAATCTCTCGGCATCTCCCGTCCGAGATTTCAGACTCGCCGATGGAGAGATCGAGGGGTCCGGCCCTGCCGAAACACGTGCACGTGCGTCTTCCCCGGGAAAGGGGAGAAACCTTGGCCCGATCCGCGCTCCGTATTCATCCCTCTCGAGGGACGAGGGTAACCGCGGCGTGGTTTACTTTGTTAACGACACCCGCACTCTCCGTGCGACCGTGAGATCAAAGGATTGGAAAGTCGTAGAAACCGAGACGTCATTCATAGCGACTTTACAGATGACACGTGGACAAAAACGATCCCTGATGTCTCACATTTCGAAAGGGTTCAACGACGACTCGCCGAATTCTCGATCCTGGGGCTCGATCGTGAATCTTCTTCCCTAGCGTGAACTCGTGAAAAGCGAAAATTTTCATGAACGTATTCAATGTTTGTCAATGAAAATGTGCACTTTTCACGCGTTCACGTTTGAGGAAAAAGATTCACGATTGAGTCTCTGGATACCGGACGAGGCCCCGAGATGTGTCATCTCGTCTATTGTTTTTAACCCTCTTTAACCCTCCGCGCGTTCCTCGCGCATTCCTTTCGACCGTCCCCGAGCGTCCCCCTTGTTGATAAACTCGTTTTCCGTGGCGATACGCACGAGGTTCTTCGTACGTTTATCTCGCGCTAGGGGCCGGTCGGGTGAACTTTGATCAACCTTCGTCTTTGACTTTAATTAAGCGTATTACTGCCAGGAGATGCCGGCCCGCGACAATTAAAGTCGCTAAACGCGGGAATTAGAAAGCAAGGCTCCTCGCGGGGTCTCTTGTTCTCGCGACTCTCGTATTTCTGCCGGCAGAAAACGCGACTCGCGGAGATGAGCGGCTGCGTCATTTTTCGAGTTAAGACACCTCGCATTCTTACTGTGTGTGTATTCGTGTGTATATTAAGTAAAATTTGTCACCCTACTTTTTCCGAATCATTCGAGATGAAGTTGCCAACTTTCCCTCGTTCTTCTGTGCCTAATTGTGGGGCTCATTTTTTTATCTGTCTTGCGAATAGAGTTGTTAAAGGCCTGCGTCCACGATGCTGGAACTTGGTCCAAGTTCTAGTTCCTAGAAATGCGCAGCCAATCAACTTGCACCTATTCCATAAAAGCTGCAGGACGCAGGCCTTTAGGATTATGATTTGTTATCAGGTAATCTCCTGAAACGTTATATCGCTAACTCTTATCTTAATTCCACTGATACATGCAATTTACCAAACGTGACTCATACTTCGCAGTTTTACCCGAAAAGGATCTAAACCACGAGTTGCAACGTTGCGTATTCTACTACTGTGGATTTAAAATGAACTCTAATAAATTTGCCAGTCGTGGTCAAGGAATAAACATTACTTTTTTTTTTCAGACCGTCGTATTTGCGGAAGAAACACGTGCAAGCGCGCGATCTCTAATTTCAAATAATTCGGGATCGACTCGGAAACGAAGATTCGTAGGATATTTTAAACAATATGGATTCGAGAAAAGACGGTCGCGCTTCTCGACCCCGCCGATATCTCCGGCTTCCTCGTCAACTCGTTTCTACCGACTCCGCGATCCTCTTACGAATTCATCGGGACGGAACGGAATCGACTCGACCTCGCGCGTTTACGATCCGCGAGGCTTCCCTCAAGGCGCTCAGCGCAAGTACCCAGCTAAAGTACACCGGTGTTAGACCCGGGCCGATTTACCGTCGACACGCGACGAAAACTCGTTACACAGAGACTCCCGTCTCTGGCCACGTGTGAGTGTGTTTTGCAGCGTGAAAACGCGCGCGCATACATGACCCTCGACGCGCAAACTGACACGTACAGATCGGCGAGTGCTACGAGGCACAATCGCCGTTGTCGTACATCCCGGACGCGTGCAAGGACCTGGTGTCTGTCACGGCCCCGCGCGTGTGTGCGAGCGTTTTACACGGGAGGGATGTATCGCACGTACACCGACGCGCCGCCAATCACTTTGACCTGTAAATACGTTATCTGCTCCAGCGACTCCCGATACACTTGATTGCACTCGGTCACCTCTACCGACATCGAGTCACTTCACCCAACCGGGTCTTTACTCCTCGAAGGCGAAGCCGCTATCGTCATCGACGTGCACGTCGGCCGTTGTTACGCACACGCGCGCGCGCGCGCGCACGCACGCACGCACGCACGCACGCCGCGAGCGCGTCGCATCACGTCGCGTCTCGCTCGGAAGGTGGAACGACCGAAACCAATCATCGCCGTCGCGGGAGACGCCCGGCCAGACGGCGATGGGTTCGGAATGAAAGCGATATATAAGCCCGCAATTCAGCTCTTTAATGGCTTTAATCATTCCTTTCGCGTTCCTCGGGCGTTTCCCCACGCGATCCAAGTCCTAGAGCGCGTTTACATTCCTCATCTCCGCGCCGATCTGCCAGTACCACGCTCGCGCTTTTATTCTCGTATCTGCGGATTCCGCGGATTGTAATTATAAATTCGATCCGCTCGAGCGCGACGACTTAATCATGCGCGTGATGCGGCGTCTGCAATGAGATCTTTCAGACGTAAAAAAATGATCGAGGGCAATTGATTATTCTCCTCACAT